GAAAGTGAGGATCTGGCACAAGGCAGGTAGTTGGGGGCCAAAACTCAACCAGATGTGAACAGGTAAACCCTGATGTAAGCCTAGGAAGTGACAGAAGCCGTGGACATCGTTTGCAAAGGGCGAGAAACGGACTAGAAGATGCAAAGGAAGGGCTTTCTCGCTAATGTTTCTTCTCCTGCAGAAGCAAAGCAAAGACCGATTTGGGCTTGAAGGGGACGAAGAATCGACCATGTTAGAAGAATCCGTGTCACCTAAAAAGTAGGTTTGTGCTGTTGCTGGCATTGTCCTAATTGTTGTTAGTTCAATATTTTGGCTTGAACTATCTATTAGGAAGGTTTTTCTCCATGGATCCACCTGGTTTGTGATGCCCGGAGGGCTTGGGGAGCTTCTTAGGAGCGGGAACAGATCATCCGTCCAGATCTCACTCTTTTTCTCGTGATCTTCCACTCTCCTCCATGGCAGCCTTCCATAAACCCATGTCTCCTTGGTGTTGGACCACAAATCCTATCACCCCGAAGCAGCATAGTCGTTTGGATGATGGGGTCTGTAACGAGGAGATATGGCAGGCTTCAGGAAGCCCGCTGCGTGATATCCAGCCCAAATTTGAAAGCGGCATCTAAGAGGATGAAAAATCCTTTTGTCTTCAAAAATCACCATCTTGTTTAGCGTCCATGCAAGGGTCAGAGTGTTGCGCAAGAGGCTCAGAGACCCCGCGTTCAGTTCCCTACTTAACAGCCAAACTGACGTGGCCACTTTAGGTCTCTTTCTTCCTGGGCATTTTGTCAGCAAAAAAGAGGGAATGTTGGAGCTTCCTTGAATTTATTGAAGACGAGGCAGGAAAAGCGATAGTAGGGAATATTGCCAGCATCCACAGACCGATTTCGGGCTGTCCTTTGCAGGTCGACGATCCTGCAGCAGCAGTTCAACCGTACGGGGAAGGTAGAGCACGGCTCTGTTGCCCTGCCGGCCGTCATGCGCTCGGGCTCCACCGGGCCAGAGATGTTCAACGTCGGGAGCATGCCTTCTCCCCAACAGCAGGTCACGGTGGGGCAGATGCACCGGGGCCACATGCCCCCCTTGGTAAGGAACGCTGGGCCTCCTTCTAGCTGTCAATGAGGATCAAATGCCTAGCGTTGTAACCAGGCGCAAAAGGTTGCCATAAAGATAAGAAATCTCTTTCCTCCCAGGGAGAACATTCATTTCCAAAGGGGTTATTTGGGGTCGATATTCCAACAGTGGGTGGGACCGGAGGCAAAGTGTGGCGAGGAAATATCAGTATATATATATTTAGCTTGAAGCCCTTCATGCTAAGAATTAAGCTTCAGAAGAGTCACTGCAAGCTTTTAGTCATGGACAGCATCTTTTTTTTAAACAATAGCTGAAAAACCACAAAATGGTGGTGATGTGGGAGGGGAATCCTCTTTTGGTCCATGACCGTAAACACGATATGAAAGAAATATCATCCGAATCAGGATTGAATCAGTCGCATAACGGACCTTTTAGAAGGCGGTATGTGAGGAATCATTTCCAGGCTGTGGCCCCCTTTTAATGGGCCTGGGCCTTGCCAGGGGCCCCCATGGCCTCCATTAAGAATGGCTTGGCTGGAGACTGGAATATGGCCCCCCCAGGCGGTTGAGAGGTTTCCCGCTCCTCTTTCGCAGCCGTGTTTTGGATAATTCCTGAGCCATCTTTATTGTTCCCCTTCCTCACCAGACCTCTGCCCAGCAAGCCTTGATGGGCACCATCAACACCAGTATGCACGCCGTTCAGCAGGCCCAGGATGACCTCACCGAAGTGGACAACCTCCCGCCCCTAGGGAACGACATGGTGAGTTCAGCGGGCAAGCGGAAGGAAGGAAGGAGCCGGGCGCCTCTTTGGGGAGGGGCAGATCCCAAGGCACCTCCTTTTGTGCTTGAGTTCATTCAACTGTTCAGATGCCCTCCGGTTGAAGCTTTCACATGACAGATACGTCCCAAATAAAACACAGTCAAGGTCACGGTGAAGGCCATGGAAACCAAGATCAGCAAAGTCTGAAAAAAGCATAGGCGGTTCCCTGGCATCCAGATGCTGCCGGAACATTCTGCGTTCTCAAAGGCTCTCTAAGGGTGCCCTGTTTTAACCCAGATGCAAAGTGATCTTTATCCTGGAAATTCTTCCCCCACCCCCCAGGCAACAGGTCATCCATGCCCACATCTGGAATTCTTGGCTTCACCATCATGGGTATGCGCCCTTCACCATTTCGTTAAAGTGCCTCTGGTTCTCCTTTCACCTTTGTGGTCCTGCGTGGCTCTTGCTTATTTTAATTGGGGGGGGGTGTCTTGTGCAGGAGAATTTCTATGGATCGAGTCCCTGGTAGGGTTAGGGCCAGACTCATTCTTACAAGATGCTCCCAATCTGTTAGCTCGAGAGAGCTCAGTCTCGGGGCAAGGCTGTCTCTCGGTTTCTCTCTCTTTCTCCCTCTCTTCTGTTAATGTTGATTTTTGACTCTTCCTTTCCTTCCCAGGCATCCAGAGTTTGGGTTCAGAACAAAGTGGATGAATCGAAGCATGAAATACACTCCCAGGTGGATGCCATCACAGCCGGGACGGCATCGGTTGTGAACCTTACGGCAGGTAAATAGGCAGATGTGTCCTTTCTGTTGGGGTTGCTCTTGGTTACCAAACTTAGGAGAGGTTTTTGCGGGGAGGAACTTAAACCTCCAGGATTCTTCTGAGAGCTGGTCTCCAAAATAAGGACCTGATCCAAAGTCTGCTTGGTCACCTGGTCTTTTCAGTAACCGTGTGCTGGCTTCTGAGCTCCCCCGAGGGCCTTGCCTTCTGCTGATGACTGGATTCCTTCCTGGGGATCCAGTAGGAGATGGGAACAGACTCTGAACCCATGGTTTAGCACTCCAGCGGGGGGAATGAAGGGCACAGCAACCTGTCTTGTACCAGACGAGGCCGTTTATCTGTCTTGACCATTGTTGTTCCCTGCTCTGGGTGGCAGTTACTTCTGTGGGATCTTGATTGGAGAGGACTCTTTCCCATCAACTGCTGCTTTGCAACTGGAGACTTTTCTGGGCATTGAATGTGGGGGCCCTTCCATGCAAAGCAGATGCTTGACTGCTGAGCAACAGCACTTTCTTCCTTAGGAGTCACGTGCTCCTTTTTTCCTCCTCCATTTTACACGTGGCAAGCGCCCCTGTTCCTTTCCTAATTTGAAGCAAACCATACTTTACCTGCTTCATCCAAACTCAGAAACGGTGGTTTGCGGTTGCCCTGCAAAAGCTGCCTTAACACATGGCTTCCAGGTTTGGCTTGCAGGGGCAAGCTGAAATCATAAATGCCACGATAGCATCGAAAACCCAAACCAATGGAGTGGCTTGGCCTTAATCCTAGCGAGGGAAGGCAGGAAATGACCATGCATGAAGGAAAGATGCAAGAGCCTTCTTCTTTGGCAGGTGACCCCGTAGATACTGACTACACAGCGGTGGGATGCGCCATCACCACCATCTCTTCAAACCTCACGGAGATGTCCAAAGGCGTCAAGCTTCTCGCTGCGCTGATGGATGACGAGGTTGGAAGCGGAGAAGACCTGCTGAAAGCTGCCCGGACCTTGGCAGGAGCTGTTTCGGACCTGCTGAAAGCTGTGGAGCCCACCTCTGGAGAGGTAAGACCACATTCCGGCCCCACAACTGGGAAGTGGATAGGCTTGTTTTTTCCCCACGTTCAGCCACCCAACCAACGGGACATGACTGAAGTGCTTTCATGCTCTGTGGTCCCTGATTTGAGAGGACAACAGGCATGCCAGCACTTGGAAACGTTACTTCTGGGAAGTACAAGTCCAGAATCCCCGAGGCAGCTGTCTTGAGGATTATGGGAGTCGTAGTTAAAAAATGTATTGTTTCCAAGCTGTGAAAGATATACACCGGCAGGTTTTTCTCATGATAAAACTATCTCTGACAATCTGCTGGCTGCTCTTCAAGTTCTAAGCGTGCAGGGAAGCACCATGTGAATCGGGATTCCCCATGAACCTGAGGACCCAGAGTAGGCAGGAAGGCAGCTCTCTTGTACTTCCGTTGTGGCGGTGAAGCCTCTGAGAGCAGCTGCCCAAACTCATGGGGTGGCAGGGGGCGTTCCTTGGCTTGCAGAGCGAAACTGTTGTTGCCGTCCCCTTTCTGTGCAGGAGATGGAAGTCCTTTGCTTGGCTGGGAGTCAGACCTCCCTCAAGGTGGAAAGGGTTTGGGTCAGGAAGCGTCCTCAGGAGGTAGGGAGGTTAAGGCTGAAGACAGGGTTGCAGGAAGGAGGAGAATCCTCCAACGAAGAGCAGGTGGAGACGGAGCGTGGATGAGAGGAGAGCCAGAGGGATCCCCTTCAGCACGGTTACACAAGAGAAATGCTTGGTGAATCGTGCCTTGTATAGGAGCAGGATCGGTCCATGGGGGCACAAGGGCCTCCTTTGTCCTGTTTGCTTCTCGGGGAGGGGGCAACTCACTCGAGAGCTTCGTTTCCTTGGAGCAGCCTAATCGCCTCAACAAATTTCCTGTTGCTTTCCCACTCTCCAAAGCCTCGCCAGACGGTCCTGACAGCCGCCGGGAGCATCGGCCAAGCCAGCGGGGAGCTTCTCAGGCAGATTGGGGAGAACGAGACTGACGAGCGGTTCCAGGTAAAGGCAGGATCTGTGCGAACCTCGCTCTCCAGCCTGGGAGGAGTCGGACGTCCATCCCGTTCGATTCCCATTAAGGCTGCAGAAACCCGGTTAGAGAAACATCAATTCGTTGCTCGTAGGGGTGTGAAGCCAGCAGCTTTGATTAATCTGTCAGTTCGAATTTGCGTAGGGGGAAGTCGATATTTGTGAAGCTAGAGACAAATGTACTTTGCTTTTGTTTGTTTTTCTGTTGGGTTTTTTTTTAAGGTTTTGTCATATCATGACAAACATTTTCTCAGAAATTGTATTTTCCTCTCAGAGGAAGGAGAGGTGGCCATGCTTGGCGGTCATCCTCCATCCCATCCCATTTTTATTCTTATTCTTACTTTGTTGTTGTTGTAAACACTAAAAAGTCAGTCACCCAATGACGTGCTTGGAGTAAACTTTCCAGCCAATCAAAACTTTTTCATCAACTTACGGTAATCTGTCAAGTAATAATAATTGTGTGCCCTCAAGTCAATTCTGACTTGCGGTGACCTTTCCAGAGTTTTCCAGACAGAGAATACATAGGTTCCCCATTAACCCTTCTTTTCTAGAGGAAACCCTGGGATCATTGTGCAGGCGGTGACCCTTTCCAAAGTTTTCCAGACCGAGAATACATAGCTTCCCCATTAACCCTTCTTCTCTAGAGGAAACCCTGGGATCATTGTGCAGCTTGCCCAAGGCCACCCAGGCTGGCTTTTCTCTTTGGAGGCGCTATGCAGGATTCAAACTCCCAACCTCTAGCTCCGCAGCCAACTATGCAGGATTCAAACTCCCAACTTCTACTTCCGTTGCCAGAGACCTAACCACTGAGCTATCCAGCCAACTCCCAATCGATTCAATTTTGCAACTCTAGTATAAATATATGTTTGGTACCATTTCATTTTCTGCTCTGATGCATAGCTCTTAATGCAACAGCTGTAGCTTTGAGCTTGGAATCTCAGTAGGCAAGAAATGGGCTTCTACTCAGAGTTCTTACTTTGGGATAAAGTTTTAAATCTGTGTTGGAGATAAACTTAACGGGGATTAGATTATTTCGAGGGGAGGTGCTTAGAAGGCTGGGGAAAAGCTCTGCCTGGAGAGCTGTTGCTGCCAGTCCGTGTTGGAAAGACTAGGGTCAATGGACCTAAGAGGAACTCAGCTTAAAGCAGCATCTTACCGTCCTGGCTCTCCTTGAATTCCCCTCCACTGAATTGCTGCTCCTTCCTCCTCCTCCTCCTCCTCCGCAGGATGTGCTGATGAGTCTCGCCAAAGCCGTTGCCAACGCGGCCGCCATGCTGGTGCTGAAGGCCAAGAACGTGGCCCAGGTGGCGGAGGACGCCGTCCTGCAGAACCGAGTGATTGCCGCCGCAACGCAGTGCGCGCTTTCCACTTCGCAGCTCGTGGCTTGTGCAAAGGTACGTTTTGCAGGATCTGAGCCGGTCCTGCCATCACACAGTGGCCCTTGCAGCTTTTCTTGTCTTTATCTTATTAATATTTTAATTTTATTGCGTGCTTATTGTTTCTTGTTATAAATTCCATTTATGGTTGTAGATTCGGGTAATTATAATAATAAAACTATTCCAGATTCTGAATATAACATAAATGTGTAAACATTGACAAAGAGAAACAACCTAAAGATGATCTGATTGTTAACTCTGTCCTCCGTATTCAATTTGGGAAGGAGTGTTGCTTCTCAATGAGACAGCTTTTTGTGTCTCTCCCTGACAAAGTCCTTGTGGGGGATAACTCTGGAAAAATTGGATGACTGAGATTTTTATTTTTCTTCCTTTGAAAAATTGTAACAAGTTCTGCCCGCTTTCTTTGCCAACGTGGTGTTCTGGGCTTCCATGCAGGTCGTGAGCCCGACCATCAGTTCTCCCGTGTGCCAGGAGCAGCTGATCGAAGCAGGGAAGCTGGTCGACCGCTCGGTGGAGAACTGCGTCCGGGCCTGCCAGGCAGCCACGGACGATACAGAGCTGCTCAAGCAGGTTAGCGCAGCAGCCAGCGTGGTCAGCCAGGCCCTGAACGACCTCCTGCAGCACGTCCGGCAGTTTGCCAGCCGAGGGGAGCCCATCGGACGCTACGACCAGGCCACCGACACCATCATGTGCGTCACCGAAAGCATCTTCAGCTCCATGGGAGATGCTGGTAAGCTGCTTGAACTTGTTGGTGCGATTGAGAGCAAGAGTAGTGATGATTCTTTCATTCGTTTGTGTGGTCTTTCCCCCACCAAATGAAAGGCCACCCATGTGGCGCTCCTCTGGCTGCCCAGCTGATCGCCCTAATGGCCCTGTGAGGTAGGTTAGGCTAAGAATGAAGGGTTGGTCCAACGTCATCCCACGAGATGCCTGGCTCAAGGCAGGGAGACAGACAAGACCCTAGATCAGCTGCGTCACAGATCAGCTCATCATCCAAGGGACCAGATTGCAAAAGCATACACAGAGTTCCAGACCATTTCACCGAGGGCCATTCCCTGCCTCGCCACATCTAAACACAAGCAAATTCATCAAAAGCTGGTTTTGTATCCAAAACCTCTAGTCACCAGCGATGGGGACACAACGTGCTGTCGAGTTGGACTTAAGTCTCACCCATGACTCAGAGTTGACTCACCACTTAAAACCCACTCATCCCTCTCTCTTTTTTTCCTCCTGGGGTGGGGCAGGGAAAAGCTTTTTAATAGGGACTTGCGAATCAGTACTGAAGACTCAGACTCGGAGGTCTTGTGGCTCAGACGCAAAGACTCGCCAACCTCCCTGTAGTCGTAACGCTGGGCAAGAGCTGGTCCGTCCCAAGGACCAGGGAAGGGACGTCGTCACGGGGACGTTGCGGGAGAGAGGAGAGATAAAAAGCAGATTTTTAACTCGACACTGTTGTAGGTGAAATGGTGCGGCAGGCCCGGGTGCTCGCTCAAGCCACCTCGGATCTGGTCAACGCCATGAGGTCGGACGCGGAGGCGGAAATCGATATGGAGAATTCCAAGAAGCTTCTGGCGGCTGCAAAACTTCTGGCCGATTCCACCGCTCGGATGGTGGAAGCTGCAAAGGTACCGATAGTGACACACACACACACACACACACACACACCAGGTTGGAGCACAGGAGGACTGTGGAAGAAAATATATGATTATGCTGCTTTGCCAGGATCATATGTAGTAGATCAGTCACTGTGAAACACTAAGAGCTGGGCTGAATCAGAGGGCGTATGGAAAAGTTTTAAGTCTTTCAGGAGCTGTTACTGGCCCTGAGGACACGACCCCTAGAAGAGGCTGCTGTTTTTAGCCCCGCCCTATTGGCTTTGGCCCTACCCACTCTCCAAATGCAGCCCCCTCCCCAAAATAAGTTCTCTGGGCAGGGATTTGGCCATCAACTTGAAAGCAGTTCTTTCCTCGTCTTTTGTAAGTAGGGTGGTGCTGCATGAGTGCGCAAAGACTTCGAGGGGATGAAATACAGCAGCTTGACAAAACCCTCCATTATGAGGAGTTATTTGAAGATGGCTTGCAAATAAAATAACTTAGCTATACTCTGTGTATGTGTGTGTGTTTTTTCCTTTCCAGAGTAGACTTCAACTAACAGTGGCCAGAATCCTGTTGGTTAATCAAGCTGGCATAAGCGCAGTGACATAGATGGCCACGGTGAAGTGCAGCCGTTGCCATTTCTGTATCTCCGTATGCGCCACTTGCACAAGTTGGTGCCTGATGAGGGATGCAGAAGGCAGCTCGTGAACTGGGGGCCATTCGCCCTTGCAGTTGACTTCACTGTACATAACCCTTGGACGATTAACCCATAGGATTCTGACCAGGCTGGTCAAGACGGTGGGATGAAATGCACATCAAGTGGCTGCTTTTCCTTCCAATCCAATGTGCTGACCAAAGCCTTTGCAGCCGAAGGATTAATATTCGGGCAGACTGTTGGACGAAAGGGACCATTGTGTAAAGAGGCATCTCCAAAACAGCCGTCTCGTGTTTTTTTTTAGACACCCGCCCTGAACTCTTTCATGTATTTTGATTCTCCCATCCAGGGAGCAGCGGCCAACCCAGAAAACGAAGACCAGCAACAGAGGCTTCGGGAAGCGGCCGAAGGGCTGCGGGTGGCTACCAACGCAGCGGCTCAGAATGCCATTAAGAAGAAAATCGTGAACCGGCTAGAGGTCAGATGGACCCCTGTCTCTCCCTTCACTCTCTTAAGAATGGCCTTGGTGATTCAGGGTGTAGCCATCCAATTCGCTTAGCCAGTTTTCAACTCACTGAGGGCCTTAGGGTACAATCGAACCCCCGTATCCACTGGATCAGTATCCGCTGATTTGCTTAAACATATTAAAAGAAAATTCCTAGAAATATCTATTTCTAAAGATGAAGTTACAAGAACTGGCCACTAGAGAGAGGCAGAGAAAAGGCTATGTATAGTGTTCGCTACTTTTTGGTTTAGATGAACTCTGGGTAGGTGGAATTAGAGTGGGGATTTTTTTATATTCCTAGCTGGCTGAGTCCTCTTCTCCCTTGCACTGCAAGAGATGGTACATTCTCAGCCACTAGCACAGGCGAGACAAAGAGCAGTCTTAAGTGGAAGGTAGAAGTGTCCTAACGGTAATTAAGTCATTACGAACTTGCTTTCCTCCGTCCCCATATCCGTTTGCAAGTGTGAAGTGCTTAAAGAGTTGCCACATGTGGAATAACAGAAAACTTAGAAACGTATAAAAGTCCATTGTGCGGTTTGTTTTTCTGCCGTGGTTAATAAATCTGGTAAATTTATTAACTATGACAGAAGCACAACCAGAGTAGACCCTTGGTCTAGATGGGCGGGATAGAAATCTAATAAAATAAATACATAAATAAATAAATGGTTGACGGAGCATCGGATACGAAGCATGGAGAACGGCCGCTCGAATGCATTTTCTTTTCCCCTCCCAGGTGGCTGCTAAGCAAGCGGCCGCGGCCGCAACGCAGACCATCGCCGCCTCGCAGAATGCGGCCATCTCAAACAAGAATACAGCGGCTCACCAGCAGCTGGTCCAAAGCTGTAAGGTAGGGGAGCTGGCGAAGAAGCCACAGGGCATCCCGGGGAAATGGCCGAAGCAAAGGCCGCGGGCTGGGTGGGCGACAGACGGCTCGCTCCATCCTTGGGAGACCCTTTGAGCAACAGCTCATTGACCGGATGTCATGTTTCGAGCTTAAGCAGTGGCCAGAAATGACCACTTGAGAAAGAGGAGTGGTTTCTTAACCCACCACATTTCAGCTGCTGTCCAGCAAAGGAGAGGCGGTTCTGTAGGACTGAGGCATCGCCACAGCGTCGGGCCAGCTGCTCACGTAGAAAAAGGCCCCTCACTTTTCCTAGAAAGATGCCGGCTTCCGACCCAGGCAGAGCACGGCCTGTCACTCCTTGCAGCCTTGGCCAGACCAGTTTTACAAGAAGGTTAGGAAGGAGAACCAAGACTCTTTTGGGGAACATATCTATTTGCCTTATAACTCCCAGAAACTCCCAGGCAGTATTGACACCGTGTGAGCGATCATGGAAGGTGTATTTCCTCAAAAGTTACACCCATACTTCTGGGAGGTGTCGTCCCAGCAGGAAAGTTTTGCATGGGAATCGTTCTCCCGTACTTGGAAAGATTGTTAACCTGTGGAACTCCCTGCCACAAGATGTGCCAGCACCCACTAGCCTTGATTGCTTTGGCAAATTCAAGGAAGAGGACACGCCTCTCAGTGATGAGAGCTCTGATTGTTGTTTCTGGGGCTCTGAGGTAATATATCTACCCAGAGCAAGCCAGCTGTTGCTGTTCAGCGGCGTTCAGCCGGGAAGAGGAGGCTGGGTTAGATCTACATTTCCAGCTCTGTCTCTCCACAGGGCCTTCCTCCTCCCACTCTGATTGATATATGTGGTTTTCCTACATTTAAAACATTAGTCAGGTTTCCCTCCGCAACCCCCCCCCCCAATCTTACAGAATGGAAATTATGAGATAGGATGATGTTGCTTCTTTTCCAAAAAGTATCTGTCCCTTGCACTGCAAGAGGTTTGCCTTCATTCCAGACAAATGGCTCACCGTGGAATTGATTCAGACAGGGCGGGGGGGGAGAATGTGAAAGTCTTGGGAAGCCTCTTTATAATCTTGAGGCTTAAGGCATGGAGGCAGGACCCTATGGCATTTCTCTCTGCTCCCCGGCAGCTCGGATAATGATGCGGAGACCCAAGCAGATCCGTGGGATAAGCTCAGAGCCCTCTGACGGTTGTGTATGTGTACACACACACACACACACACACAAACATTTTGGGCCATGCCCACTTCTTGCACACCTGGAGCCCCGGTCAGAAGGTTTGTCCGGGGTCCCCATCCATGGTTTGAGAAGAAATGAGCCTGGGGAGGGACTTGTTCTGGGGTCCAACCCAAAGGTTGCAAGTAATGAGTCAAAGTAAACATCGATGGAGTAATGATTTTACCTTTTTCACCCCTTTTCCCTCATTTCCTTTTTCTTTGCTTTTTCTTTGGTTTTGCTTTTTTGGAGTAAGGGTACCCTAAAATTACATTTATGAGGTCATGGAACAGGGGTCTAGGTGTCCTGGTTAATGTTTGCTAGTGAATTTTAACAGGCTGAATCCAATTGCTCACCCCCAGTAGAGTAGACCCATTGGATCAGTGAGATTTTCATTGGTGTTAACTTACGTTCAGCAGTTGACTCAAGGGGATTATTCTAACTGGGCCTGGCACGCTTGGACGTGTGGCCCACGATTACGTTTAAGGCTGTCTAGGAGGATTTTTTTTAAAAATTGAGCCAGATTTTTCAAGGTTTTCCAAGATGAATACCATTCTTTCGTCTTGATTTGAGTGTTGGTGATTTTTCTTTTAAATGTACTAAAACAATAACAAGTAATGTAACAAGTAGCAATGAGTACCTTTTAAGAAAATAAAACTGCTTAACATTGTGGCAATGAATTACTTCCTTGGGCTTTGTAACAAGCTAAGTAATCAATTAGTTTTCAAAGCAACTTTGCAAACTTTGGTTCACCTTTCCTCAACCCAGCATTCTCCCCGTGTGTTGAACTATCTCCCCCATCGTCCTGGATCCCACGGGCAATTCTACCGTGGTCTGTGTTGATTGCTCAGGGTTTTTGTTCTGCAGCTTGACTGCTCCCTCCAGACCGAAACCCCATCTCTCTGTGTGTGTGTCTTTTCCTTGCAGAACGTGGCTGACCACATCCCGCAGCTTGTCCAGGGCGTGAGGGGCAGCCAGGCACAAGCGGAGGACTTGAGCGCTCAACTGGCCTTGATAAACTCTAGCCAAATCTTCCTCCAGGTATGTTCTATTGGAGAGTTTGGGCAAAGCAAGAGAGACACTGCCTTGCTGAGCCACGTTGAAGTGGTCAACAGAAACTTGGAATGGATGAATGAAAACTGCAGGAGGGAGGGAGGGTGACAGGGCCGTCCTGCCCGGTCTGAAGACAAGGAGCCGATTCTAAACAACTGCAAATGTGGAGAAAGTTTGCAGAGAAGGTGGTGAAATGCCATAGTGCTCACTTCCAGTTTTGTGGGCTCGAGGGTTCCCCCCAGTTTGACATGCCCACAGCTCTTGTGGCCTCCAGGAGCAGGGGACAACCTCCTCCTCTCTTCCCCAACCCATAATTTTTGCACTAGGCAGGGCATTGATGGCCCCACGGAAGCCACAGGTGTCCACTACTAGCTTAGAAACTTTATAACTTTATCAACGTTTATTCAGCGTCAAAGATTCCTCTGTTGAATCGGCATCCAAAGTGTTTTAGAAAATATATTTTTAACAGAAGTGCGTATCAAAACATTAAAACCCCAGCTTTGCTCTCCCGCCGCTCTCGCATCAAAAGGGGAGGCGGCTCTCTTTGCGATGACATTTGGTGTGCCAACGGAAGGACGGCGTTCAGCCTTGGCCAAGAGTCCTGACGTCTCTTTCTCTGCCCTTCCCAAACAGCCAGGAAGCAAGATGGTGGCTTCGGCGAAAGCAGCCGTGCCAACGGTGGGGGACCAGGCTGCGGCCATGCAGCTGAGCCAGTGTGCGAAGAACTTGGCCACCAGCCTGGCTGAGCTGAGAACAGCCTCCGTTTTTGGGCCTAGTTGGTTATGGCTGCTCCGTGTTTTCAAGGGAGAAAGAGAAAAATAGCCGTGTTGGGCCTTTCTAAGCATAGTCCAGAGCTTCGGGATATTATTCTAGCTGACATTTTCTTTAAAAGCCCTGAGCAGAATTAAAATAAATATTTAAAATGGGTTTTTTTGTTTGTTTTTACTTTTTATTTTTATAAACACTGTTCCCCCCCCCAAAAAAAAAAATCTCTGGTCCATAAAAGTTAAACCAAGCAAAGGCTACTTGAAAGATTAGAACCAGTAAAAAGTAAATAAGAGTCTAATTCAAGGTTTAAAACGAGTAAAGCTAAAAATGGAAATATAATTTCAGAAGTTGAGAGAAATAAAAATGGACTGCAGAAGAGCTGAAGGAACGTAAAAGTTCTTAAGAGTAAAATACTAGGGGAAAGGAAGTTTATGAGCCACCCCCTAAAGCATCCTGGTGTGGGCAGGTCTTTTGTGGCACAAGAAGATGGTAGTTGTTGCTAGAGATGGGCGCGAACTGCTGGTTCGTCTGTTCGTGCAGATTCATCCTTTGGGCGAACAGGTGTTCATCACTTCCCAGCCCTGCCTCCCCCAGCAGGCACCCACTCAGAGGCAGGGCCCCAGCTTCCCTGCCCCGCTTCCTCTGGCCGTTGCCTTGGGAGTGGATGCCTGCTGGAGGAGGCAGGGCTGGGAAGCATCAAACCCATGTTCGCCCAAAGGACGAATTGGCGCAAACCACCGAACCAGCTGTTCATGTCCATATCTAGTTGTAGCATTCTATGTATCAGGGAATGCCTCTATTTGGATGGAGTCTTCGTGGAATATTATCATCTCCTCGCTTTGGTTCATGTGTCCATTGCTTTTCCTCTTCAGCTTGAAAAATGTGCTCAGGACCTGGGGAGCACCTCGAAAGCGGTGGGGTCATCGATGGCCCAGCTGCTGACCTGTGCAGCGCAAGGCAATGAACATTACACAGGTACAAGTCGGTACAAGCCAAAGACCGCAATTTTTTTTAAAAAAAAAGAATCGTCTTTCCTACTCTGGCAGTTTACCAGCTGTGTAAAAACACGTTAGAACAAACACAGGGAATGATCCCTTTCTGTGCTTATTTTCTTCTTCACTTTGTGGGCAGCCGTGTGTGTGCTGAGAAAATTATGCTCTTTTCTGCCATGTGTAAGAAAGCCTCTATGGGCAGCTGTGAGATCCAGGACTGTAGATCAAAACTGTGAGTTGAGTGGTACTTCTGTTGAATCACAGATACGGATGCAGCGGGCTTTTCTAGTTCTCCAGAATTCTGCCTCGTTGTATGTCTTAGGAGACAGACAGTGTGGGGAACAGAGGTCACCCCGCAGATTCTGTATCATCAGAGCCAGAAGAAGAGTTTGAGGAAAAACTCGAAACTTACCTCCCACAAATTTTTATATCATCTAAAGCTGAAGAAGAATTCTGGAGAACTGGAAAACTTGCACACTTTGTGTTCCAGTAAAGCGCCCACAGCGCAACTCAGAATCTTGTCTCCTTTATATAAATATATTGCCAGTGGTGACTCCAACTTTCCTTTCAGGAGAGGTCGAACCACATTAAATCCTCAGGGAATTGCCAGCAAGATTGAGACCAGCTCATGTTAAGAGATTAAAATGCTCCTGAGTGAATTATATTCTGTCTTCCGTGGTTTGTCCGGCAGGTGATTTTGGAATCCGGCTGATAAAGCTCATTAAAGCGACTGTCCCTCTGCTTGTGGGCTTGTGGCTGGGCAGGTTTTGCTTGCACTTTCGTTTCGAGGTGGCTATAATTGGATTAGGGTGGCTCTCTGATGTGTTGAGTATGTGTGTGTGTTCCATTAGAAAATCTCAGTGCAGGAAAGCTGACATTTGCTGTCCAGGAAGAGTCATAAAGCTCCAGGGGATTCAGGGATTAATCAGCAGCGTTACCTAAAATGTGGAATTAAAACAGTGATCCATTTTGAACGATGCTGCTGGTCCATGCAACTGGCTAAAGGTGCATATTTGCAGACTTGCACCCTCTGGTAGCAGCCGGCTGTGACTTGTAGCCCAGGCACCTTCGCTTGACCTGAGGTGGACGTCTGGCTAAACCCCCTAAAATATTAGACAGATTGTGACCAGCGATCAGGATGAGGTTTGCCCTTATAAGTCAGAAAGCTCAGCTTGGAGAAGAAAGCCATGCAAAGCATGATGTTGGACTACGACTGCCATCATCCTTGGCTGACGTAGCCACTACTGAGCAGTCTGGAAGTTCAAGAGGGGGCACACCTTTGCCCAGCTGTGAACCACATGGCTGCACCCCTCGGTGCCAGATGTCTTTACTCGGAAGAAAAGCCCTACCCATCATCCTTGGCTGACGTAGCCACTAGTGAGCAGGCTGGAAGTTCAAGAGGGGCCACATCTGGAAGGCTGCCCTTTGCCCAGCTGTGAACCACGTGGCTGCACCCCTCGGTGGCAGATGTCTTTACTCGGAAGAAAAGCCCTATTGTGTTCCATTCGGTGTGGGTAGGTTTCCCATCTTAAAGCGGGTGCTCTCCGTTTGGAAAAGCTGGACTGCGTCGATAATCCCAGAGTCAAGAGGGTAGCTTTCTGTGTTTGTTTGGCTGCAGATTTACAAGTTTTATAATCATGTAAATATTTATAATTTGGAAAGCCAAGAGAGGCTCAGGCTGGCCTTTGTTGCACGAGAGCTCTCCGATTTGAAGATTAAATATTTTCCCTGCCCCCACCAAACTCCTTCCCAGCCTTTGCCTGGAAAGGCCACTTCCAAACTGGAATGAGCAGGGCTGAAGAAAACAGATGTTTAAAACCATCTCAAGGGTTACACGCTCTTGAAACGGCTGGAATCCTAGGGAGTTGGGGCATGTCCTGAAGGAAGGCCTTGGTCTAATTTTTCTGATTTTTCTCTGGGCCCTGCGTCCGAACATATCCTAAAACTGAAAGGCATCTCAGGAGAAATGTCAGGAAGGAGAGAGGGGGAAGTAAGAAAGACAGGAAAAGAGAGAAAGGGGGAAGGAAGCAAGCAAGGAAGGAAATTAGTTAGTTAGTTAGTTAGTTAGTTAGTTAGTTAGTTAGTTAGTTAGTTAGTTAGTTAGTTAGTTAGTTAGTTAGTTAGTTAGTTAGTTAGTTAGTTCAGAAGATGGTCCTTATAGTCTCTGTCTCTCTCTCTCTCCTTTCTTGCCACGATCCAGATGGTCCTTATAGTCTCTCTCTCTCTCTCCTTTCTTGCCACGATCAACAGTTCTGTTTTCAGCCTTCAGTTCTTATGCATTATGTCTTTCCCAGAAATAAGACTGTGTTCTGGATGAGAAATCAGTTCTGCCCAAAGATATAGAAGACGGAGCGTTGCTGTTTTTTCCCTCCTCCTTCTTCTGCAGATGTCTCCAGCAAGCTTTTTAGGAACACAGGGGTCCTCTGGCAAAGCTGTGACTCATTTATACTCTCTATTTAAAGGAACGCTTTGCTGTTTGGTGACACTGGAAGGGGGCCGTGGTTGGGTGGCACAGGTGGCGCATTTTAACAAAAGGTTCTGCCAACTCTTGATCCAGGTGTGGCCGCGAGGGAGACGGCGCAGGCCCTGAAGACTTTGGCTCAAGCCGCCCGGGGCGTCGCAGCATCTACGAGCGACCCGGCGGCGGCACGCGCCATGTTGGACTCTGCGCGGGACGTGATGGAAGGCTCCGCGATGCTCATCCAGGAAGCCAAGCAGGCTTTGGTGGCTCCTGGCGATGCCGAAAGCCAGCAGAGGCTGGCCCAGGTGAGGGCTTCCTCGTAGCATCCTCAAATGGCACGCCGGGAAGGGATTCCCAGGGGCCATCTAGTCAACCCCTTCCAAAACGGGAATGGAAAGGAAACTCCTGATGGGTTTGGGTCCATTTCCCCCTCTTTCTGTTACAGTTCTGGTGGGGTCTAGAATTTCCCACCTCCTGGCAAAAAAAACCCTCCTGCTTCACCTTAACTCTTTCCAAATGCAGTTTTTGTCTTTATTCCTACGGAATAAATCCAGTCATTAGTCCCAGCAGAGCAGACCCACCAAAATAAATGGGACTTACTCAAAACTAGTGTGAATCCCACTGCGATCCAGATGACACTAAAACTGGATTTGTCCCTATAAAAACACTTGATTTCCATTTGCAACTGTGTTTGAGCAGATGTAGTGGCCTTTTTTTGACGTGTCTTCCATACTACTCTTGTGTAGGTAAATCTTTTTCCTCCCTTTTACTTCTGTTGAATTTTCCAGAGTCAGCATTTATCTCTATGACCAAAAAAAACCACCCACCCTTTTTTTTTTAAAGTGTTGTGGCATGTTGAAGACGAACAGGTTGCTTTCAGCGTGAGCATTTTTTGATTAAACGCCGACGCTTGGGTGGGGGGGAATATTGAGCCACAGGCTTGCTTATAGGTGGACGGTTGTGACCCACGCACGGTCAGCTAGAGGAGGTTGTCTTAGCCTGGTTTCTCCTTCCCAATGTGTGTCTCCCCAAAGGTGGCCAAGGCGGTTTCACACTCGTTGAACAACTGCGTGAACTGTCTCCCGGGCCAAAAGGACGTGGACGTCGCCCTGAAGAGCATCGGCGAGTCCAGCAAGAAGCTGCTGGTAGAATCGGTGAGCGGCTTCCGAAGTTGGGGCTGTTGTTGTCACTTATCATGGTCGTCGTTACCGTCACTGCTGCCATCATGATCATGAGTTTTCTAGAAATGAGACAATGGAACTAGAATGTAGAAATGTATAAAAATGCAAAACTGGGGGTAAGACACGTAAACGTGTCAAGGCCCTGTTTGTTTCAGGCAGACTTGGGAAATGCTTCTTTTCCTAGACAAGATTTCGAAAAGACTGGAGACCAAGCACCTCATTTGGTTTGGCACATCACTTCAGTACCTGCAGGGCCAGAAAAAGTTCCTGTTTTCTGACCCACAGATACCAGAATCCTAGCTAGCATAGGCTGATACCAAAGCTGGCTGCGGTGTGTGTGCAGTTCAGAGTAGTAACTTTTCCAACACTGAGTACTTACTCTCCCACTACATTAGGACCCCATACTCTGTGGAATCGGTATCTGCTGATTCATTTCTCTGCCACCTTTAAATATTAAAATTTTAAAACCCAGAAATACATCTTTATGTATTTCCAGGGTGTATTTAGCAGAATTGACCACTAGAGGGAGCCAGAGACTGTGTCATGTTTAGTGTTTGATAGTGTCTCACATTTTTCAGTGGCCACAGGAGGGACTCGGGACTGATGCCCCCAGGTACCGTGGTCCTCTCCTATAAGCAAGTCTAAGTCTACATATCTCTGAAATCATTCCCCTATCCTTTCTGTCTTTCGGCCTGCCTTCTTTTAGCATTTTGTAGACTGTAAGCACCTCGGGGCAGGGACCTGTGGTCTTATGCTCCCTTAAAATGCCATGCAGCTAGGTGGGGCTAGTTAGAAAAAATAATCATGTAGAACTTCCTTGTAACAAAAAAAAATCCACTGTGTGCTCACAGCTGCCTCCCAGTTCAAAATCCTTCCAAGAGGCGCAGAGCGAGCTCAACCAAGCGGCGGCGGATCTGAACCAGTCGGCCGGGGAAGTCGTGCACGCCACGCGGGGCCAGAGCGGGGAGCTGGCGGCCGCCTCCGGGAAGTTCAGCGAGGATTTCGATGAGTTCCTCGACGCCGGGATCGAGATGGCCGGCCAAGCTCAGGTGAGGCGCTTTCGTCCGCTTGTGGCCAGCGAAAGGCGGAGTCGGCTACCTTCTTCGCGAGCCGTTCGGGACCCTCTATTGAGAGCCATGGGTGGGTTGCCCCAAACCAGTAGCTTTCTTGGGATGCTGGAAGATCATGACCGAAACCAAGCAACTCTTCCCTCCTTATCTAGGGCTGGCATGGCTGGGATGCCCCCCACTTGCCCCCCCTCAGCTGGGCCACTTTTGCCTGTCCTTGTAGAAGAGACAGGCTAGTTAAGACCTCCTCTGGTCCTCTGGAGTGCTGAGCAAAAGAAAAAGAGAGAGAAAAGCTGCTTTTCTATCCACGATGCAGCGACCTGTTGGCTGTGCCAGGCAGAGACAGGCCGGCCAACAGAAGCCTTGTTGAACAAGTCACTGAAAAGCCTCCCTCTCCCCCCTTTCCGTATGGGAAGAAGGGGCTCATTGTCGAGGCGTCAGGGCAGCTGCCTGGTGGGCTCCCGGGAAGCTTCTCAGAAGCGGCCGCTACTGCCTGTGCTGCCCTAAACAAGCCCAGCGTCTCTCTCTAGAGATGCCTGGGAGACCCGCGGAGGTGGCTTTGGGCACCCCGGCAGCCTCCTCCTCCTCCTCCCCAGTCTGTGCTTTTGAGTTCACGGGGTGGTGTTTCTCCTTTGCCCCCGGCAGACGAAAGAGGACCAGATCCAGGTCATCGGGAACCTCAAAAACATCTCCATGGCTTCCAGCAAGCTGCTTCTGGCGGCCAAGTCTCTCTCGGTGGATCCTGGTGCTCCTAACGCCAAGAATCTCTTAGCAGCGGCTGCAAGGTAAAGACGGACCTGGGGCCTGCTTTTGCAAAGGTTTGGGAGGTTCGCTCTCGGGCACTTTGGAAAGCATCTAGCTGATGACTGTGCCGGCTGCGGCGTTTGCCGGGTGGTCATTAGGAAGAGTCAAGCCGGCTGGATAGCTCAGCAGTTTAGGTATCTAGCCGCAGAGTCAGATGGTGTGAATTCAATTCCCGACGGTGCATCTCAGAAGGGGAGGAGAGAAAATCCTGGAAAGGATTGCCATGAGTCAGAATTGACTTGACAGTGCATAGTTATGATTGTTATTAGCCCAGAAGAGTAACTTTTCCAATGGTCAGCACCAGAGGTGGGGTTTCTTTCCTTTCTTTCTTTCTTTCTTTCTCTCTTTCTTTATTTCTTTCTCTCTCTCTTTCTTTCTTTCTTTCTTTCTCTCTTTCTTTATTTCTTTCTCTCTCTCTTTCTTTCTTTCTTTCTTTCTCTCTTTCTTTATTTCTTTCTCTCTCTCTTTCTTTCTTTCTTTCTTTCTCTTTCTTTCTCTCTTTCTCTCTTTCTTTCTTTCTTTTGCTGAGAAAGTCATCTCAGTTTTGGAGGGGTCCCTGTTGAGGAGACTAAGGGCTGTTTTTGGTGCTGAGCAAGTCTCATGTCCCCAAAAAAAAAAAGCAGCTGTTTTGCTTTTTGTCCTTTTTCCAAAACCAGAAAGGACCCCGTTTGCTCCAAGTTGTGATTTTTTTAAAAAACGGGGAAAGTTTACACTGGCTGTGCCAAATTCTTTTCCAGCAAAAGCCAACAAAAATCTCCCCGTAGGTTCAAGGCCGTGTCGTGTCCTACAAAAGCAAAACTCTTGGAGAACCTTTGGGCCTTCTCCTCCTGGTTAACCAAAAGAAACAAAACCCACCGGAGGAAGAAGAGAGTTTTTAAAAAAAAGAGGAACACACCTCTGAGGTGGTCCATGTT